CCTCGTGATCACATGGGGTCCACCAGCCATAGTCTGGGGTCGTCCCCCCCCATCTCAAGGCCAGCTGGTATGTTCACACCTTCCAGGGATCAGACAGGGTCATGCTGCTTCCATCCACCCCTGCCGTTCTGTGGTACAGGATACCTCTCCCCACATCACAGATACGGAGAAAATAAAAGCAGTTGCCCTTGGAGCCCCCTCAGGGGGGCTGCATTTGTGTCCGAGAAGCCCTCCTAGCAGACCCTCCCACACACGCGTTATCGCCGCGTCCTCCCCCAGCCCCCAGCCCTCTGCGAGGCCTGCCCCGCCATTCGTGTGAGGCCGTGGCGAAGTTAAAATAGATTTTGGGCCCCTGCCACCTCTTTCTGTTTCTCTGGTGAGCTTGTTTCTCGGACAACAATGCAGAGTTTGAAGCCCATCCAGGAACAAGCTTCCATCGGCCCCCTACAAATTCCGGTAATCGGTCACTATTTATAATTATATAAATAAGAGAAAAACATGCTCATGCCACCCTCCCCAAAGAGCCCCCATCTCCATTTTTAGGCGGCCGGCCCTCCCACTCGCCCCTGGAGCTGCGTGGCTCTGCAGTCTGGGAGGCGGGTCCAGCCACCAGTTAGGATGGAGATGTGGGGACGGTGGCCTCAGTGGAGCCCAGGAGGGGCGGGGGCGCTTCACTGGGGGCTGAGGGATCCGCGGAGCTTAGTCACCCAGAAAATGATTAAACAAGTGGGCATCAGGCGGAAATTTGAGTGCAAGTTCCATGGACTTGTCTCTCGAGGTATTGTGGGGAGGACAGCAATGGAGAGCGGGAGAGTCAGGCTGGCTACGAAATCCTGGGTCTTGACCCCTGAGAAAGGGAGCTGCCATTTGTGGGGGGCATGCTCTGTGGCAGCCTTTTCACCCTTGCTGAATCCTCTCTAGCAAGACGGGGCTGGGGAACATCAAGGCTCAGAGGGCAAAGCAAGCAGCCCCTGGGGTACACAACCAGGAATGGCAGAGCCCCTGCAGGGGAGCCGATGCGGACTTGAGACTCTGCTCTAGGGTTCACCTAAAAGATCGGGGTGCCTCGGGCAAGAAAAGGATTGTTTGAAAGATAACCAGAAGGACAGCTTTAATTCAGGAGGCAGATTGGGGGTGATTCTTCCCTGATTCCATTCTCGAGACCAACATAAGGAGCCTTAGTGAGCTTAAGAGAAAAACTGCCCATGTCCCGAGTCCAGACAGAGATGGGGGCATGAGGCACCTGCTGGGTTTCCATCCCTGGGCAGCTTTTATGGGCACATCACTAATCCTTACTTGTTTGAGGCCCTTTAGGCATGGTCTTCCCTAAGTCAGAGGCTAATTCCTTAGAATCAGGAGCCTTCTTACAATCAGAAGATTAAGGAAAGAGTCTTGTTCTCCCAGAACGTTGCTGAGCCTGGGGAGTACCCCAAAGTGATTAGAGGGATAGGGAATCGAGACAGAGGTATTATAGGAACTGCCATTTATCCAACTTCCTGTCTGTCCTCTGATTCTGGTTTACCACGCGTTCTGTGACTATCTCGGTGTTCTCATCAGTAGAATGGGCGTGTGTTGGGTGCCTCTCCTCCCGACTCCCACAGCCGCCAGTGTCTTATGAATGTGCCGTGATGGTCTGTTTATTTCTCTTTCCTTCCTGACTGGGATCCTCCGGGGTCAGGGACTGGTTCCTTTCCTGTAGTACTTAAATTCCTGGCACTCAATAGTGAGCGAATGGGGGCATCTGGCTGGCTCAGTCAGAAGAGCGTGTGACTCTCGATCTCAGGGTCATGGGTTCAAGTCCCACGTTGGGCGTGGAGATCACTAAATAAATAAGCTTAAAAAAACAGCGAATGAGCATTTGAATAATAACCGTCTCCCGTGTAATGGTATGCCGCTGGCTTACAAGATGGAACGGTCAGACATTTCCGGAACTTTGCAAGCCCCTTGTCAAATTACTGGTAGCTTGAAATTGACATGGTAGGGATACTTACAGCCCAGAAATAGGCAAATGCTACAGAGTAAGCCTTCCCTCCGGCTTTACCTACACAAGGCTAGAGAGTACTTACTCTATCAGGCACTGTTTTAAGCACTTGACGAATATCCACATTTAATCTTCACAGCTAAACTGAGGAAGACACCCGTATTATTGCTGTTTTACCGATGGGGAAACTGAGGCCCAGGGAGATGACGTCACCTGCCCACATACAGTTTGGGAGTCTTTCCTCAATGGAATGCAGGATTGCTGCAGGAAGACCATTCTCGAAGTCTCTGGGTGCCGATGCCCTTTGCGGACTCCGGGGTACCAGCCGTTCTAATCTCGGCCACTGGTTTTAATCAGTTCCCCTGGGAGAGGAGAGGCCGTTGCCTGGGGACTGAAGTGTTTTCCAGCCCTTAGAAGGTCACGCTGTGTGATGGGAACCTAAAGATCCCCATATGGGGTGCCCCTCTTACAGGACTCCAGACAGCAGATGCAATCAGCCCAGCCAGACCCCACGCAAAGCTCCAGACCTCCTTCCTGCTCTGACGCCGCCGACAGAGCCATTGCTAGGATTGAATTAAAGCCGTGACATCCTGGAACAGGCAGCAGCAGGCTGTGTGAGCACAGTCCCTGCTGCGTATGTGCATCACGGCCAGAGCAGGGGGTCAAGAATCCAGGGCCCCCCACATCTCATGGATACAGCTGTCCACCCGGTATATACTTTTGGCCTGTCCGTTTGGGTCTGTGATTGGGGGGAGGTCACGGACTCCCAGAAGCTCTGTTTAAGGGATAACAGAGTCTTTTCATGGACCGTTCTGGCTTGAACATTTCAGATCTTTCTGGGCCCAAGTCAGCCCTTGTTTGACCCCTCTGCCTTGTTACCTCCTGTGTGTCTGTCTGACTCCATTCCTCCAGGAGTTCCTTAGGAGCTGAAGTGTGGCTCCTGATTATTCCTGGTTGTGGCCCTAAGACCCAGCCAGGTGCCTGAACACAGCAGAGCCTCAATAAATGGGCAACGAATGAGTGAATCAACAAACCCACGGACTGTGCCTCGGCCTCCCCACCTTCCTACTGCCACATGGAGCTCCTGATTCCTACTCCAAGACTTGCCATCAGGAACCAATTCCCCTTGGTCATCACACCCTAGCCTTCCCCTCTTCCCCCTCCCTGCTCGCTGGTGAAGGTGGCTGGTTCAGCAGCAGACCCTGGAGGATGGAGGGAGGCCTTCAGAGGCCCCTCAGAGGAGGTGATATTTACACTGAGATCTGCAGAGGAGACCCCAGCCATAGGAATAGAGAGGGGAAGGGAGTTCCAGGCCAAGGGGGCAGGTGCCAGGACTCCTCTAGGAGCCGACAGTGGTCAGTGGGGTCTGAGATGAAGGTGCCAGTTTAGACAGGTCACAGAGTGAAGACAGGCTCCCTTCACCCCACACACTTGGGTCCTCTTTGTGATCACTGAAGGGCAGAGCACAGCCATGTGCCCCCGCCATCCCCCACTGCCCCAGAGCAGGGTCCCATGGCTTTCCTCCCCACCCACCTACACTGTCTGTAACTTCGGGAGCAGCTAGGCCAAGGGGGAGACGGTCCCGGCCTGAAAATGCTATTTTCAGTCTCTTCGGCAGCAAGCCCTATCATTTAATCCTTGGATAGTTTAATATAATAAAATTCCAGGGAATGGTATTTTACATCAGAATAAAATTGTGTTCAGCAGTCGTGGGTCATTTGCATGGGGTCAGAAACCCTTTCCAGACCCTGAGGCCAGTTTGGGTGTCTCAAGTCCTTCTGCCTTGAAATGCAAGCCCTGGGTTGAGTTAACTCAGACCAGCTGATGCCCCACAGCCCCCACTTCCCAAGCTTGGCCACCTCAGCCCACCCAGAGGTGCTTCTGCAATGCCGATTCCAGGTGCTTCTCCAGCTCTTTCAATGCCAACAGTGTGTCATGGGCAGCTGAACTTTCCCCCAGGCAGGGGGCTCATTCTGCAGCTCTGGCTGGGTTCAGCCCCCCCCCCCCGCCCCCCTGGGCGGTTCTGCAGGCTGTAGGTAGGGGTAATTGGTTCTCAGCATCCCCTCCCCAGTGCTCTGTGAAACTGATGTAGGTGGGCCCACCCAGGTCTTTGTGAGCACCAAAGGACTCATGCCGGCCATCACACCCCAGCTCGGTCACAGAGCCTGGCACCCAGGACATAACACTGACTACTGTCCAAACATGGATGGCAGCACCATGAGGCACCGCGGAGAGCAAGGGTCTGGCCTTGAGAACCAGAAAATGTTGACTTTGAATTTCTGCCCTGGCTGTGTGACCTTTCTGAGAATCAGTTCCTTGCTTGTAAAATGGACAGGATTCCACAGCAACCGCTTTGTGCCCTGTCCCATGGCAGGCCCTTCTGATCGACGGACGTCTCGTTACTATTATCATCCCCATTTTAAGGAGAAGGAATCATGGTCAAACAGGTGGCAGGACGGGCTGGGGTCATCCGGCCTGACCACGGAATTCAATTCCTCAAGCCAACTTAAGGCCAAACTTCTCCCAGGAGGCTAGGGGAACCACCAGCATTACATTCTCTGAGCAACTTGAAATGCAGCCTCCAGGGCCCTGCCTGAGCCAGAATGGGGGTGGGGGGCGGGGCCAGGAAGCTGCCTGCGCCTCCAGTTTGAAAACTCCCCCACCCCAAGCTCCTGGGCTGTGCCGGCAGGACCGGCCGCTGGGGCACGTGGTGTGTCCCCTCCGTCAGGGTGCTGGGGAGGGGCCGAGGGGCTTTCCTGGAATGAGCCAAGCGAAGCACCTCGTGCGCGTTTAAGGTGGATTACTGTTATTATATTACCTTTATTGCTGTTCAGCAGAGAGCTCATTAATGCTGGCTGTATTTCTTCACTGTCCCAGGTGAGTTTCCATTCTGAGATCGGGGAGGACGTGTGATGGAACCGGGGTGTGGGTGAGTATGGAACCTCCCCGGGGTCCGATCCCGCCCACCTACACCCCAACTGTGTTCGCACCCTCCTCTTTCCAAAGCCGGCAGGGGTGCGGAGGTGGGGAGGCGCTACAAGCACGGCCGCTACACGGGGAACGGGGGACCCTTGGCGGTGGGCATGTAGGTCGCGCCCTCCCTTCCACCCCTCCCCGCCGTCTCTGGCCCGGGGCGGGTGCTCCCCCATCCCCGCAGTGAACGAAGCCGGCGCGCGCTAGGACCGCGGCGCGCCGCCCTCCGCCGCTATAAGAGGCCGCGCTCGCGCCCCACGCGGAACCCGCGGCTCAGACCCGTCCCCGGCGTCCCGACCCGCGGTGGACCCGAGGCCCGACCGGCCGCTGCGCAGCCGACGCCAGCCCGGGGCCTGCGAGTCTCGCGCGCCCCGGGGCCCCCGCCGCGGGCACCATGGGCGCTGCCCACTCCGCCTCCGAGGAGGTGCGGGAGCTCGTGGGCAAGACCGGCTGTGAGTATCCCGCGGGGACACGGGCGGGAACCGACGGCCGGCTGGCTCGGGGCTCCCAGCCCACGGCCGCTCGCCCGGCTCCGCGCCGCCGCGCTGTGTGACCTTGGGCCAGTAGCTGACCCTCTCCGCGCCTCAGTTTCCCCCTCCTACAAATGGGTCCCCGCCGGCCACTTTGCAGGCTGCGGCGAGGAGCTCCGCGGCGATGCTGAGTAAGTGCCGCGGCCGCTCAGCCTCGGCGCCCGCGGAGTTGGCAGGGAACCCCCGGGCCTGGGGACTGCGGACCCGGGAGGGAGCAGGGCCGGGCTCCCCCAGGGCAGGGCAGGGCAGGCGTCCCGGGCTCGGAGGGCGAGAGCCCGTGCCGCGCAGCTGGTGTGCGCGCTCCGAACCTGGAAGTCGTTCGGGTTCTCGAAGCGCAGGGGCCGGAAAGTTTTGAAGTCGGCGGGACCTGGGCAGCAGCCGGGCTCCGGCGTTCCCTGGCCGGTGACCTCGGGAGGGAGAGCCCGACCCCCTGCGCCTCTCTTCGTCCTCCCGTCTGTGAAGTGGGTGCAGGCGGGTCCACCTGCCCGGATAGCGGGCAGCGCCCGCGGAGCACTTGGCCGGAGCCCGGAGACCTTCCTCGAGCTCGTCCGCACTCCTGGGACCTGCATCCGGCCCGAGGCTGGGAGCAGGGAGAGGCCGCGCCGCGGGGCCGACCTGACCGCAGGGAAGTGACGGTGGAAGCGTTTGTCCTCTCCAGTCCGGTCGGGCTGGGAACTTGACCCTGGGCTCCGACCTCGGGGTGCCGGGCTCTGCCACCGGCTGTGAAGGGGCGTGTGGACCCTAGACCGAGGGAGGCCAGGTGAGTGGGCAAACTGGACAGGCGGACGTGAATCCTGCCAACGCCACCTCCTGGCTGTGTGACCTTGGGCTAGTCACTTCATCTTTGGGTTTTCTTCTCTCTAGGATGGAAGTTCTGCTAGTACCTGCTAGATGCTCAGGAGATAGGAGCTGCGGATAGTATTTCAAGGAAGGGGCTGGCTGGCTCCGGGCACCTGCTTTGAGTTTAGGGCAGCCAATCAGGTCCATAATACCACCTGCGGGCGGGTGGGGATTGACCCAGCCACTTGTGCCAAGGCTAAAAGGTGACCCCTGCAGAACTGGGTGAAAATTACAGAAAGCACCTCTACATGGTGGGTGGGTGGGTGTGTGTGTGTGTGTGTGCACACACACACACTCATACATCACATACACATGTTATGTTTTCCCATGTACAATCCCAGAACCGTCTGTGACTGGAGAGGAAAAAAACTGTAGTGTATACAACTTGGAACGCTTTAAAAAAAAATGATAAGAGCATGTATTTGTAATTGGTTTGTTTGCACCAAGGATCTTAGAAGCTTCCGCAGGAAAGTAAGAAGGGTGCATACTTGCAGATTGGGTGGAGGGGACAGAGAGGGAGTGAGCTTTTTGCTGTAAATTTTTTTATGGTTTCATTTTGAACCGTGTGTGAATATAAAAGTTTTAAGTTCAGGGGCACCTGGGTGGCTCAGTGGGTTAATCATCTGCCTTTGGCTCAGGTCATGGTCCCAGGGTCCTGGGAATGATCCCCACATCTGGCTCCCTGCTCGGTGGGGAGTCAGCTTCTCCCTCTCCCTGCTGCTCCCCCTGCCTCTTGTGAGTGCTCGCTCGCGCTCGCTCTCTCTCTCTCTCTTGCTTTCTCTTTCACATGCGAGCTCTCTCTCACTCACTCTTTCAAATAAAATCTTAAAAAAAAAAAAAAAAAGGAAGTCTTAAGTCCAGTTCAACCTTAAGGCTCACATGACAGAGGAGGTAGGATTCCCCTCTTTCTTTCCTGGGTTTCCCCTGGTTCTGTTAGTTGAGCTCTTACTACCTCGGATCTGCGCTGGTGGAAGTCCGGGATCTCTGCAGCTGGGTTTTCTGCCGGCAGGATTGGTACCCCCACATGCAGGTAGTTGGGGGGACTTCCATCTGGTGGTGAGTTTGACAGGTGATGGGACCACAGAGCATGCTGGGACTCATGTCTGTTTCCTGGGTCCGGTCTCCCCGGGGGGAAGACAGATGCTTAGTGTTCCCCCTGTAGCCTTCCTACAAGTGGCTGAGGAGGCTTCCCTTCTAGTTGCCCTGGACTCCAGTTTCATACCCCAAACGGGGAAGGGAGATGGGGCGGGGGCGCACCAGGGAAGGGGTTGTGGGATCAGACTAGAGGAGAGAATGAATACCTCCAGCTCCTTGAACTTTAGGGGGAAAGTTCCTCCTTGTCCTCTGAAAGGAGCTGGCGGAGTCTGGGCATTTGAACCCATTCAGCAAGTATTTATGGACCGAGGACTTGGGGATTTAGAGGTGACCCAGAGAAGCTGATGTTCCTGAGGGGAGATGCAGAGTGGTGTGAGAGTCTGGGGAAGGACAGGGAAACATTTCTTTCTTTTTCTTTTTTTTTAAAGATTTTATTTATTTATTTGAGAGAGAATGAGTGAGAGAGAGCATGAGAGAGGAGAAGGTCAGAGAGAGAAGCAGACCCCCTCCAAGGAGCTGGGAGCCCGATGCGGGACGCAATCCTGGAAGTCCGGGATCATGACCTGAGCCAAAGGCAGTCGCTCAACCACTGAGCCACCCAGGCGCCCAGGGAAAGAAACATTTCTTTAGGGAGGACCAGGCCCTGTGGTGGGAAGATTTTCAGGACAATAAATGAGAATTGTATGAGATGCTGCTGCTGCCGTAGTCCAAGGCTTAGCTGGTGGGGGGAGCCTGACTTAAAGGATCTTGCTGGGTGCATGGCTTGGCGCACATGTTTAGTGGTATTGGCCGTGCTGTTAAACCCATTTGTACGTCTGCATCACTGTGAACCACAGCCAAGAGTTAAAGCTTGGTCCCACTTCTTCCCAGCTGCATGACCTTAAACAAGTCCTTGTCCTTCTGAAAGCCAGGGTCCCCCTCTGGATCCTGGGGTGGTTATATGGCTTCAGTAAGGCGACGTATGTATGTATGTGAAGTACTCGTCTTGGCCTGGAAAGTCCGCTCCCAGAACCCTGCTCCTGCAAGAATCCCTGGGAAACATTCCGCATAAGACCCAGGCAGCCAAGGAACAGGCTGTGCCTGCAAGGTTGCGGGGCTCCCCCTGCCTCCTCGAGGAACCCAGATGGTCCCCACTTTGAAGAGTCCGCTTGGTGCCTCCCTGAGGACTCCTTCTGGAGCCGATGAGCAGGACGAGCATAGGACGGGGACGCTGTGCGTCATTCCTTGGGCACCAGGCTCTGTGCTGAGTGCTTGGGACGCACTCAGTGGAATCTTCATAATAACCCTCCGTGGAAGGTGGCAATGTGGCCATTTTACAGAGAAGGAAACTGAGGCCCGGAGAGGCAAAGCAACTTGCTTGCAGCTGCACAGGTCATTGAGAGGGGGAGTAGGGGATCTGAGGATCCCCAAGCCCATTTCCTGCCAACACTGTGCTTTCGCTGTGCTGAGTTGCCTCCGATTTCTAGGAAGGGAGGAGGGCAGGGAACAGCCTGCACATCAGTTTTTCTCACTTCGGGCCCTTTGTGCAAGCCATTCCCTCTGCCTGGAGAACTCTTTTTTTTTTTTTTTTTTTTTTAAAGATTTTCTTTATTTACTTGACAGAGAGATCACAAGTAGGCAGAGAGGCAGGCAGAGAGAGGAGGAAGCAGGTTCCCTGCTGAGCAGAGAGCCCGATGTGGGACTCGATCCCAGGACCCTGAGATCATGACCTGAGCCGAAGGCAGAGGCTTAACCCACTGAGCCACCCAGGTGCCCCTGCCTGGAGAACTCTTCACTTGACTGTGCATAATCTGGGGTTTACGTAAGGGGGCCCTTGTGCAACCACCAGTCAGGTTCAGATTGCAAACGTGTTCTCTTAACCCTGTCTCTTGACGAAGTCCGTTCTCTTCCTCATTTGGGGCTCCGCTCAGCCGTTGCTCCCTTCCAGAAGCCACCCTTGCCTGCTCTCCATCCAGCCTTTGAGGGTTTACGCATCCCGGAGACTCGCGCAGCCCCTGCGTGGTTACAGCGCACGGCGCACCGCGGTAGAGCTGTTAGCTCTGTCACCTGCCACCTCCTCAGAACTTGGAGCTTCCAAGAGAGCAGGGAGAAGGTGGCTGGTTCACCTTGGTATGCAGGTGTGGTACTCACAACACAGGGGTTTGGGCCGATGAGGTGGGGACCCCAGGGTCTTTAGAACCCAGAGTATTGGCTAGGTGCGTGGGTCCAGGAGGAACACCTCGTGCCACCCCAGCAGCCGGCCGTGGCCGTGGCCGCACCAGCCCTCCTGGCACCATACTGTGGGCCTCAGCGCTGAGCCAGCCCCACCAAAAATAGGCCTGAGCACAAGGCAGCCCACGCAGGGCATCCACAGAGCTGCACACCCACCTCCCCTTGCCTGGGAGAGTCTCACTGATTGATTTAAAACCTAAAAGTCTTCCCAGACATCTTTGCTGAGCCAAGAAAGCGGCCTACCTGGAACATTAAAATGCGCGTTAAACACGGGCGCTGGCCTTTCTGATGCTCCTCCCGCAGCAGGAAGGCAGTGGAGCCGGCTTGTGTCCCTAGGTGTGAAGTGGCCCCCGGCAGGAAGACCGGCCCCTTGTAGGGGGGGATCGCTCACCGAAGCTTGGTCCCCTTCACCACCTTGAGCTGGCCTGGCGGTGGCCGTTTCCTGCCCACCCCCCACCCCGACCCGTGCCTGCTCCTGGGGCTGGAAAGGAAATAATAAGTGGAGGATTCTGGGAAAGGTGGAGGGTCTATTTTTTCCTCTAGGCTCCAGAACAGCCCCACAGGCATATCTATGTAGATGCCAAGAAGCTGCCAGAAGGAAGAAGGAAAAACAATGTCCCAGATCTGGAGTTGAGACCTCTTCACGTTGACAGCGAGTGTGTTTACCAGGCGCCTGTCATCTGCCAAACCAGGAGCTGAGCCAGGCAGCTTACCCGCAGCTGCTGAAGCAGCGCCCCCAGGAGCACCGTGGCTTCCCGTTTTCCCGAGGACGGCGC